TGTGTGTGTGTGTGTGTGTGTGTGTGTGTGTGTTATGCACGATCTAAATAAACATACGTATTAGCTTGCTTATAATTATTATATCTGATCCAGATTGAAGAAATATGATTGCAAGTAAAAATATATTTTCAATATCTTCACAAAATGTTGTTCGGAACGATATGATGGTGAGTAAATAATGATGGAATTATAATGTATTCTTCGATCAACCCATTTAACATGCATAAGTGTTTTTAGCACTGCAAGGTTATTTTAAATAAATAGTCAAATACCTGTTGGAAACCTCCTCCTCCTCTCCTCCATCCGGTCGTTCTTGTGTTTCCTCCAGCTCCTCCATTCCGGCGTGGCTGGGTGGGGTCTCCTCACTGCTCGGGGGTCTCTCGCTCTCCATATAGAAGCTAGTGAGAGGGAGATCGGCTGCCAGATCCTCCTCACTTCCCAAACTGAGCTGTGAGATCACAACACCTGTCAGCAGCTCTCCATTATCCCATTCCATCTCTCACACAGTTATCCCAACATATCTAGTAGTGCAGAATGAAACCCTACTGTATACAGCATACTATTTTTAATAGCATGTGAATTCAAATGCAATGAGAAACACTTCAAGCAATTGAATTCTACACTATTGTCACATGGCCTCATTATAATATGTTGCATGCTTACTTTAGTAAGTGCTGATTGTTAGTGGTTATCTTTGCATTCTATTGCACTTAGGTAGTAGAATTATTCTGGCTAAAACAAACATTTTTCTAAAATATTAATCTAAATTTTTCATCTAAAATATTCCTTGTTAGCAATTATGTAGGTTCAAATTTCTAGATACAAGTAATAACAAGTAATAGTATTTTTTATGAAAGCACAAATAGCAAAGGGACTATTGTAATGGCTTTATCATTTTTAATTTAATGATTTTAAGTTGAACTACTTTACAAATGGTAATCGATTTAAATATGAACCATGCAACCATATTGTGCAATTCAATAATGTTGAATTGCACAAACTCTACACAGATAAATTCACAATATTTGTTTTCATTGCTTTAAAATTGCTATTTTTTTGGAGGACAACACTGGGCAGGATGTGGAATAACTGTTTTGTGAATAAAAGATTAAAATTAAGTTATTTTAATTATAATATATATATATTTTTGAATCAGGAAATAATCGGATTAATTGATTATCAAAATTGTTAATTGCATCCCTACAATAATGTCTTAACTTGAGAGTCCAATCACAAGAGTCAAGAACAAGATATAAAATTAAAACCTTCATTCAATATTATTTCCATAATTATTATTTCACACTTGAAACGGAAGGTATAGTCAAGTGCATTGCATCATGGGATACAATATACCATGCAGCAGTAAGTCATTCAGGGAAATCAGTACTAAAAAGTCACATATACATAATGCATTCTGTAAAATTAGTAATATGGTAAACACTTCAAGTTACCTGTGGCAGCTCTTCAGATGGTTCAGTAGGCGTGGCTGCTTGGCACTGTCCCTCAGTCTCAGACTCCGCCTCCTCCTCATCCACCTCATGAATAGTGGGCGTGACATCTGACGGGGGCATGGACGTCTTCTTTTTCTTCCTCTTTTTCTTTCGCCGGCGGTCCATACTGAGCACCCTCTTGCGGAAACGCTGCGGGGGGAGATGGGTGGACAGGGGGTGGTGGGTGTGGTGAAACGTATGCCGGTGATCTATGAGTAAAGAGGCATAGAGATTAAAATCCTGTTCACTTAACCAACTACAACTATAGCAATAATAACAATCAAGTTTTAATAATCAATCATTAGAATAGGGAAGTCCTCTTTTTACAACTATACAGATTACGACACATTAACTACATCGTTGGAATCACTCCCAGAAAAATTTTTTCCGGCTGATGAACGCTAAAAACATTGATAGCCAATCAGAATCCACTTGAATGTAACGGCCTTATCTAAAGGATGACTGCGGACTAATTCGAGACTAACAGTTATGTAGGAAATCGTATAGCTGCCTGGGACAATGGTCAATTATACAATTAAGCACCAATATACAAACATATCTGACCGTAGAATGGCAACCATTGATCAGGCCATAAGAATCATGTATTCCAGAGAGCTGTGTAATAAGCAACGATAAAGTCTTTTAAAAGGTCACTGATAATAAGGCTGCCATAGAAACATCCCCTCCAGTGCTAACGTTGGTTAGTTCCTCTCACTCAAACATCTCTGTTGCCAGATATCTCCTATTTCACAGGCTTAAATATTGCATGTTATTTTCAGAATGTACATAATATAAACAAGCACTACATTGATGAATAAATATGACTTTTTTCAATATTAAAATACAGTTTAACAGTTTGAGTTAGTAATAAAAAAAAGAAATTAATACTTTTATTCAGTAAGGATGCATGAAATTGATCAGAAGTAACAGTAAAGACTATTATTTTGACAGTAAAGTGAAATTAAAGATTTCTATTTCAAATAAATACAATTATTTTGAACTTTCTATTTATCAAATAATCCTGAAAAAAAAAATAAAAAACGTTTCCACAAAACTATTAAGCAGCACAACTGTTTTCAACATTAAAAATAATAAGAAGCGTTCCGTGAGTACTAAATCAGCATATTAGAATGATTTCTAAAGCATCATGTGACAC